GGTCTGGCCCCATAACCTCCCTGACCTCACCTCCCATGCCCCTCTCCCTTCACCCAGCCTGTTCCACCTTGGCCCTGCTCTACAATTCACACACACCATCACACACCTGCCTTGGGGCCTTTGCCCAGGCTGTGCCCTGTGGCTAGCATGCCCTCTCTCAGATGCTTACTTGGCTCACTCCTCCCTCTATTTCAAGTCTTTACCCAAAAGTCACCTTTTCAGTGAGGACTTCCTTGACCAATGGTCTAACACTACACATCCTGCCACCACTCCCCACCCCATTACCTACGTGGTTTTGCTCCCTACTGCTCATTACATACCATTTATTCACTGTTGTTAACTGAGCACAGCTCCCCAAGGGCAGGGCCAAGCAGTGTCACACACAGAGCACCTGCTGAGTGCCTGCCTAGTCAGAGCCAGGACACCTGGGGGGCGGGGCTCCATCCTGCCCCCCACCCTGCCCTGCTCCCACTGCCTTGCAGCTTGCCCTCTGTGCCGCCTCCCAAGCCTGCCTGTGGCACCAGACCTTCGGAGTCTGCCCACAACTTTGCCTTCACCTGACTGAGCAGGCATCCCTGTGTGCCTCTCCCACTGCACCCCCCACGACCAGCCTCTGGTGCACACAGACACTTGTGAGGACAGCGCAGAGTGGATTCCAGGAGCCAAGGGGGCACCCCCAGCCCCCATCCTGCCCAAGGCGAGCACCAAATCAGCTACCTGAGCGGCCCTGCTCCTAGGCGCGCGCGCACGCACACACACACACACACACACACACACACACACACACACACAGAGTCTTTGGAAATTCCAGAATCTCAGAACTTTAGAATTTTGAAAACTTACTTATTTCAGTTTGGCCCCTGTCCTGTTCTTAAACTCCTGAGACATGGCCAATTGTACACTTCCAGCCCCTCAGACCCTCAAGAGTCAAAGCAGAAAGGCCCCGGGAGATCATTCCATGGCAGACTCAGCTGGGAGCCCCCAGCACCATCCTTCTCTTCTCTCTCTGACTGTCAGGTGGGCTCCTAGAATAAAAGTTCATTCCCAGATTCTCTTGCACCTAGAAGTGGTCATGCGACTAAGCTCTTGCCAATGCGATGGAAGAAATAGTGTGAAGCATCAACTTCTAGAAGACTTTCTTAAAAGACATGTGATAACCCCCCTTTTTTTCTTCCCTCCTTCCCTGTGCCTCTGCTTAGATGTGATGGCTGGAACTCTGGCAGCCATTTTGGACCACAAAGACAAGATCTCTTCTTTGGTTTGGTAAAGCCAGGAATTAGAAGGAAGCTGGTCCCCACATCAGCCTGGTTCGACCTACCTCTAGGCTTAAATATGAAAGAAATAAAATGTCTTTTTAATTTAAGTCATTGCTCTTTGTAGGTTTTAATTATAAGTCCAATTCTCTTATTACAAACCTGGGGCAAGTGAGGCTGGAGTCAGGCATGGACCTGTGCAAGGCTGGACAACGAGTCATGGCAGGGCCAGTACAGAGCTGAGGCACCTGCCTTCTTTTCTTGTGAGCCCCTGGGCTGGCTCCTCTGACCTCTTCCTCCAAGGTCCTGCACCCTCCCAGGGGAGCCCCTGCTTCATCACCACCCATGGGGGTCGCCCAGAGGCTGTCCCAGGTGAAGGCATCGGGGGCCTGGGCCAGCCCTTCCCATCTGGGCTGCGTGTATGCTTCGTCAGCCCCAGATCCTGCCTCCATGCCTCCCTTCCCTAGCCTCCCTTAGGACCCAGGGTTCCTGGGTTCTGATTCACCCTCTTCTAAGAGCAAAGGTCCTCAGGGTTCCCTCAGCCCAAGCCCTGTCCCTGGTAGATGGTCACCCTGGTGCTGGTTAGACACCTAAAGTGACAGAGAAGACACTGCCTCCCCGACAGTCCAGCCCAGGCCCTCTGACCTCCGACGGGGACACTTGGCCTGCACATGGAGCTGAACCGAGCCCTGCTGAGCCCCAGCCCTGTCCACTTGGGCAAGGGCCAGAGCTCCCTGAGGCTGCCTTTCCACGCTCATGCACATTCGCTGCACTGCCCCTTTCTGAATTCTGCACCCTGAGAAGAAGTTTGAGTGGGAGAGTGGTGGAAAGGGGATGTAAACTCACTGAGGTTCTCCTCAAGGGCTTGGTTTTGATGTCCGTGGGGCTGCAGAAGCTAGCCCAGGCCTTGCTGGCCCAGGAAGGAGCCTGGCACAGGCTGATCCCTGTCAGTACACCATGCAGAGTGCTGCATGTGCTTCATACATTATCTGCTTTAATTTGCATAACAAGCCTCTTGGGTACACTCAATTATTAACCCATTTCACAGACAAGGAAACTGAGGTGCAGAGAAAGTTGTCCACAGTCACTGCCCCCCAAAATCCAGATTCAACAGAGGTGTGTCCTTCTCCAAGACCCTCACTCCTCCTGGGACCCAAGCCTGCCCAGGCCCCTGGAGCAGGCCCACCACCTCCCAGTGCCCCTCCCGCCGTCCTCCCACAGCCCACGGCAGGACAAACCTCCAACTTGCAGGATAGATTATGAATAAGGCAAAAGAAAGTTATCCTGGCCCCTGAGCATGCCTTAAGTATTTAAATTCTTTTTCACAATTATCTCAAATAGTAATTATTGCAGGAGCAGATGCGCTATCGCAGACAAGAAACCACCTGCCTTCCCATTTCTGTCAAAAGTGGAAACACTGACATTATTTTTGTGATTCACTTCAATAGCTGTTTTCACTGTAAATACCACCTTAACCACAAGAAAAATACCCTGGGTGATGCTGGGGGTATTCAAGGTTTTTGGAGGAATTCTTCCATGAGGACAGAGTGTTTCCCAAGGACATGGGCAGAGAGGAGCATGGGAGAGTGCCCCTCTTCATGCCCAGGGGACGTGCACCATCTCAGAGAAGGATGGCATTTTGGTGGGAGGGGCGTCACAGGGTACTTCCCCAAACCCCTTCCTCCTCCCTTTCCCCACCTCTCATCCCCACTGTCAACTCCAACTACCTCTCCAGGGCTGCCCACCCTCCGGAAACAACTCATTCACCCCAAAGAACACCAAAATGAAGGGGCTCCCCCCAACCCCATTGGGAATGAGGAGCCTCAGCTCTAATAAGAAGCTCTAAGAACTCAAAAATTGAAAGGGACCAGGTTTCCATGAATGCCACATTCCAAGGTTGCAGGTCTCTATTCTCCCAGTCAGGCGCAGGGAAGTTGAGGAAGAAAAAGAAGCATCAGGAGCTGTAGCCTAGAAATGCCCCCTCACCCTGTCCAGCAAGCTCCTTCCTCACGGAGCTATATGGAGGCAGAGCACCCCTCCCTCTCAGTCAGAGCTGGCTTGTTGGGGTGACTGACCTCCTTGGGGTATGCAAGCAGGTCCTGAAAGGTCACTATGGGAAGGAGTGTCCAACTCTGGGTGAGGGAGAGGCCCTCTAATGAGGCAAGAAGCCATGGCCAGGAAGCAGGCATCCAGGATTCTTGTCCTGTGCCTGCCACCAGGCCTTGGCCAAGCTGCCAGTCCTCCCTGGGTCTCAGCATCCCATCAGTCAAATGGACAGGCAGTCTTGGAGGAGCCTTTTGGCCTCATTCCTGGGTAGTACAAGTTGGGTAAATCTCTCCTTTTCACAATTTCCAGTGTTCTCATCTGAACAGCAGGTCTCTCCTAGCTCTACACACCCAAGTCATTATGCTATTGTCATGATCAATTATTATCATTGAGCACTTGCTATGTGCCAGGCACCGTGCTCAGTATTGGCATATGCTATGCATTGTCAGTTTGCTTGCACGGGGCTTCCATGCCGTAGTCCTTCCATCATCCCATTTTACAGATGGGCGACTGAAACTCAGAGAGTGTAAGTGAGTTGCCCAAGGCCACACAGCTAATTGGCCAAGGCACACATGACTGCAAACAGACAAGTTACTGACACCCATTACATGCCCCTAGAGATGGAACTCTTCCCATTTCCAGGATGTGGGCATTGAGTCTCATGGGAAGTAGTGGATTTGGGATTTTAGCAGGTGTCCCTGATGGTTAGGAAGGAGGAGCTTGAGGACAGAGTAGCAAAGATGGGTTCAGAGAAGCAGAGCGGGAGGGGTTCAGATGCAGCCGGGCTGCTTGAGAGCCCCCACAGGACTCAGATTCAGCTCTCAACTGCCTCACTCCTTCCCAGTGTCCCTCTGCTGCCCTCGTGTGGTCATTATAGTGAACGCAGCTTTTCATAGCTTGGCATTCTGGGGGAGCCTCCGGAGTCTGCTTTAGTAAGGAAGGGATGGCTAGACTGGACAAAAGACAAGGGACCCTAGAGCATGGGGCACAGCCCTTCTCTCTAGTCTCACTCACCTCACTCCAGCCACTGCACTCCAGCACAGTCTTACTTCCCAGCCTTTGCACTTGCAGCCTTTGCACTGCCAGGGACATTCCTCCCTGCCTTTTCACATGGCTACCTTCTCATCCTCCTGCTTCCTGGGAGGATGACACCTCCTCTCTTTAACCTAGGCCCCTGCCGTTGTTCTCTGCTCTCAGCTCTGCTCTGTTGTCCATCTTCAAACTTGTCACCATCTGACATCACATTTTAAATTTGTTGACTATTTTTTCAGCAAAATAATGTCAGCTCCAGTGCTTGGCACACAGCAGGTGGTCAATAGTGACTTTTAAACGAATGATGCATGAAGATTCCCATCAAATGGGCATCCCCACATGTTCACACCCATTATAACTAAAATGGGGCACTGGCTCACAAGTTTGGGTCCTATCTTCCCAAGGGACCCAGTCCTATTCTTCTGCCCCTCCTGCCACAAGACAGTCCTGCAGAGAATTAAGGACAGCAATTGGAGCCCCTGTTGACTGAGCCCTCCATCATCTCCCAGGATGGAGTCTCCAGGGATTGCTGTCCATCTCAGAGTCCTTTGAAGGGTGTGGAGCTGAGCACAGGAACCAGGGAGCTCAAAGAAGAGCAAAGCAAAGCTGTACATCTCCTCCCTTGTTGCAAGCATAGACCTTCAGTAATGTGGTCTGTAATTAGCTCCATCTGCCCCAGGATGCAGAATATGATTAACACAGTGAAGGGAAAGGCACTGGAAGTGGCTGAGTACCTGACCCCGGTCCTCAAGGAATCAAAATTTAAGGAAACAGGTGTTATCACCCCAGAAGAGTTTGTGGCAGCTGGAGATCACTTAGTTCACCACTGTCCAACATGGCAATGGGCTACAGGGGAAGAATTGAAAGTGAAGGCATACCTACCAACAGGCAAACAATTTTTGGTCACCAAAAATGTGCCATGTTACAAGCGGCGCAAGCAGATGGAATATTCAGATGAATTGGAAGCTATCATTGAAAGAGGATGATGGTGATGGAGGATGGGTAGATACTTATCATAACACAGGTATTACAGGAATAACCGAAGCAGTTAAGGAGATTACACTGGAAAGCAAGGATAGTATAAAACTCCAAGATTGCTCAGCATTATGTGAAGAGGAGGAAGAGGAAGATGAAGGAGAAGCTGCAGATATGGAAGAATATGAAGAGAGTGGATTGTTGGAAACAGATGAGGCTACCCTAGACACAAGGAAAATAGTAGAAGCTTGTAAAGCTAAAACTGATGCTGGAAATGAAGATGCTATTTTGCAAACCAGAACATATGACCTTTATATCACTTATGATAAATATTATCAGACACCACAACTATGGTTGTTTGGCTACAATGAGCAATGGCAGCCTTTAACAGTTGAACACATGTATGAAGACATCAGTCAAGATCATGTGAAGAAAACAGTGACCATTGAAAATCATCCTCATCTCCCACCACCTCCTATGTGTTCAGTTCACCCATGCAGGCATGCTGAGGTGATGAAGAAAATCATTGAGACTGTTGCAGAAGGAGGGGGAGAACTTGGTGTTCATATGTATCTTCTAATTTTCTTGAAATTTGTACAAGCTGTCATTCCAACAATAGAATATGACTACACAAGACACTTCATATGTATCTTCTAATTTTCTTGAAATTTGTACAAGCTGTCATTCCAACAATAGAATATGACTACACAAGACACTTCACAATGTAACAAAGAACTTACAGTTTATTCTAATAATTGGTTCTGATTTTTAAAGAATTAACCCATAGATGTGACCATTGACCCTCTTCATCAATATGTACAATTTCTCTAATAAAGGGACTTATATGTTTATGCATTAAATTAAAAAATTCCACTACCAGACTTATTTGTTTAATTAAAAAAAAAAAAAACCTCAAGAAACTTATCTTCATGCTGTTCCATGCTGGTACAGAGAGGTCTGCAGAAATGAATCTGGTCTGGATATACTGCTCTTGGGAAGGACACACGACTCAGTCCCCTTCATCCTGAGACCTTGGGCAAGTCTTTCAGCCTCCTTGGCTTCAGCTCCTCTTAGGTACACTGTGGGTCTAGTGAGAATGATCACGAAGTTCCCTGAGACCCTGGGAACCCCCATCTCATTGCATTGAGCCTGTCCCTACTCTGAACCTGTGCCTTCAGGAGCACCCCCTCCTGGTGTGCCTTCCTGCTCCTCCCACTACTCACTTCCCATCCTCCTCTTATAGCTCAAGGGATGGCAGGCTTAGCAGGAAAGAGAACTGTGTCATTGGAAAAGGGACTGTGCCCAGGCCCAGCGGGGACTGCTAGTGACATAAACAGCTGTGTCTCCTGCTGGGCACCCTTCTAAGATGGCCTGGCAGCAGGTGTCTGTCGTTGTCCTCTTCTGGGTAGAGGAGGATGGCCTGGCCCAGGCCTCCCCACACAAGCCTCTCTTTTGCTGTGTGACAAAGTTAGGGGAGGCAGCCACCCACATTTACTGAACTCCTCCTGTGTGGTGCACCCTGCCCTGAATGTGCCCCATTAGTGCTAATGAGAGGCGCCTGAATCCCATTTTTCAAGTAGGGAGCCTGGGGCTTGGAGCAGTCAGCAACCCACACCACCCAGCTGGTCAGTGTCTCCAAGACCATGGTCCTGGTCTGGCACAGCCTACTGCAGCTCAACCTGCTGGGCCTCTCACTCCCCCTTCTTACCAGAAAGAGAAGAGTTTGGGCCAAATGTCTTCTGGATGCTTCACACCACCCTGTTTCTCAACTTTCTGATTCTCTGGGTTTCAGGCCCACTGAGTCAAATACGCCATCATTAGTGACCATGATTACCACTCACAGAGCCAGCCTGTGCTGGCTCTCAGTCCTCCCCACAACCCTGCAAAGCTGGCTGCTAGCCCCATCTCACAGGTGAGGAAGCTGCGGCACAGAGATGGGTAGGGCTTGCCCGGGTAAGGTGCAGAGCCTGGATTTGAACCCTGGAAGTCTGGCTCCAGGCACTGTACTAGGAGAGCCCCTAGTGCAGAATTCAGGGGCTGAGATTTGAAAACTGCACTATTACAGACACCTGAGAGTATTGTCTCCTTAATGCAATGTTCTCAGGACCTTCCCCTCGGGACTGGGAAACGGGCACACCCAGAGATGTCTGGGCGCCCATGCCCCTCCGAGAAGTGGTCCAAAGGGCAGCTGCTGCTCCTGAAAAGTGCACTGGGGAGACGGATTCCTTGGGGAGGCTCCCCCGCCCCAGTTGGTCTGGGGTCCCAGGCTCGGCCTGCTCACAGGGCACTTCATAATGGAGAACCTTATGGGGTGCGCTGAGGCTCTGAGTGCTGGTCTGCCTGGTGGCCCTTTCCCCTGGCTGCACCAGCTTCCCCAGGCAAGCAGCCAGGCCCAGGGAGAGGCGGCCCACAGGACCCAGGCCTTGGGGAGTGGCTGGAAGACCCTTGGGGCCAGCCCCCCACAGGAGCGCACCGAGCTCTGCACGTCCCAGGGTGTCACAGTGCCCTGGCCTTGGGCGCAGGCTGGCTCTTCCTGTGGAACCTGAGTCGGGTACCCCAGGCGGCAGGGCAGGCACCCCGGGGAGGAAAGAGGTGCCCAGGGCCCCGGTGGAGCAGCTCAGGGCTGGCCTGGGGAGCCAGTGGAAGGCAGTGGCGACTGGCAACCAGCTGGAGGGAGTGGCTCCAGCTGGCTGCCCCTCAGCACCTGCTGAGGTCTGGCCCTTCCAGAGACCTGGGCTTCCTGTCCCCTCCCAGGCAGGGCTGCAGCCGGAAGGACGGAAGAGAGTGACCACACCCGAGCCCTAAGGTCAGGGACCTTCCCGCGGTGGCCTGGCCCTGGGGAGGCGGGCAGGGGGTGGGCCTTCCCAGAGCCCTGCTGTGCCCAGTGGGCAAGCCGCCCCTAGCAGAGCCCCAGGGGCCAGCTGGAGCCAAGCCTGTGACTGCAGTTGTGGCCACCGACAGCCACCGTGGCAGCCAGAGGTGTGCCCTCCAGTGGAGCCTGCTTTCCTTAAAGCAGGACTATATGCAGAGGAGGCCCGGGGCTGGGGTTAGAGGAGGGTGGGGGACAGGACCTGCCTGGAACCATGGGCCGGGATGGAACCCTGATCCAGATGCCCTGGGTCCTGACGTGCCTGGTACTCCACCACCACTCAGTGAGCTTTGCCCTGGTGTCAGCCGCCTCACAGGCTGCAAACAACGCTAGGCCGCAGGGTAAGGAGGGCACCCAGACTTGGGCCTTTGACAAGCACACAGACCTCGGTAGCATGCTATCCCCCACACCCGGGAGCGAGGGCCCCAGAGGAGGACTAAGCGCCCTCTGCTGGAGCCCAGTGCCTCTGCTTCCACAACAACCCTCCCGGACAAAGGGAGATACAGAGCTACTGACATCATGTTAGCAGGCCTCAAGAGAGGGCAGTCCAGGCCTAAGAGTACAGACAGAGAAACTGAGGCCTAGAGAAGGGCAGCCACTTGCTCCGCGTCCCCCGCAGACCCCCACATTTCCCCCATCACACCACAGAGCCTGTCTACCAGGGACCCCAGACAATAATCACACAACTAAATATATAAACTAATATCATAGAATGTACTTTGAAGAAAAATACACAGGTAAGAAGACCAGGGCTGATAGCACTGGGGAAGCAGGACTTATTGAAGATATGGGGTCAGGAAGACCTTTATGAGGAGGTAACATCTGAGAAAAGACCTGCAGGAACGAAGGGAAGGAATCCCATGAATACCTGGGAATCAAAGGCTCCAGACAGAGGAAACAGCCAGTGCAAAGGCCCTGGGGTAGGAACACCCTAAGTGAGCTCAGAAACAGTGAGGAGCACCACAGTGGATGTGGAAAGGAAGTGAAGACGATGAGGTCAGTGCAGTGGGCCGGGGCCAAAACTGGTGGTCTTACAGACACAGTAAGGAATGTAAACCTATCCTGGGTATGGTGGGAAACAATGGGGCCAGACTGAGAATAGGCAACTTATTTACTAGTAAAATAGTTGCTCAGGTAGCTGCGGCGAAAGGGATTATGTGGGCAGGAGGGATGTAGATGAGACAGGAGGCAGAGGCAATGGTAGCTGAGGCAGGCTGCTGGCAGTAGAGGCAGGGGAGGTGCTTGGGTTCTGATATGTTCTGAGGATTGATTGTGCAGGACTTGCCTATAGTTGGATGTGGAGGCTAGAGAGGAGTAGAAGTCAGGGAAGAGGTTGGGTTCTGGAATGTTCTGAGGGTCTGGCAGGACTCACTGATGGTTTGGATGTGGGGGTGCAAGAGAGGAGGCTGACTACCATGGCATCATCCCGCGCAGCCTGTGCTCTAGTCCAGGCTCCGCCCTGCCCTTCCTCTGACTCCTGGAGCTGTTAGTAGCCAGCAAGACCCCTCACACCACCTCTCCATGTACTTCTTGCCCATCTAAGCTGCCAGGCACTCCAGAGGACCCGTGTTGAGAAGGCTCCCTCTTCAACCCCCGTGCTGGGAGGGGTGGGCAGGAAGGTGTACAGGGGGAAGTCCAGCTAAGATTATGTGGTTGTGGGAGGGGAACTCCCTCCACCCACAACCCCCCCCCCAAAAAAAATAATTGGGTGGGGATGGCTGGTGCAACAAAGAGAGAAGGGACCGCCAGGAAGACACAAACCACCCAAAGCTTCCTGCAGGTGCACACATTGCCTGATGTCCCATGAACACACACTGTCTCAGGGCCCGAGGAGTGGTCACAAAGGTTATATCCATTCATGATTAGGAGACTGAGGCTCAGGGAAGCAGATGTCTTAGCCAGGTCTCCCAGCTGGACCAGACTGAGCTTGCCCAGACCTTATCAGCCGATACTTTCCCTTCACCACAGGTGGTGGGGGACTTCCCCGAGGTGTTCCTGTCCCACAGTAGTGACAGGGTGACTGGTGCTCACTCTGCCCAATTTGAGGGGCACTGGTGTCCCGGAACGCTTCTACTCCTCCTGCCCTCCTCTTGCCAGCTTCTCCCGGCCCCCCAGCCCTGCGAGGCCCTCGGCAGGGGGCTCATACCAGCCCAGGGCATCAGTCTGGAAACAGTTCTCAGGGTGGAAGCTTTGAGGCATACATCCTGACAGAACTGACAGTGCCCTGGGGCAGACACAGGCCCACCATCCCCTTCCTGTCCCCACCCTTCCTGGAGTGTGGCACAGGGTCGGGTGGCTATGGTGGAGAGGACAAGCACATAAACCTTGGCCCCTCCAGGCTGGACCAGCTTTGAACTTCCGACTTGATAAGTGGACTGAGAAGAGGACGAGGCCTAGGCCAGCTCTGAGCTTTGAGGGCTGAGAGTGAGAGAGCTGCAGAGAGCTGCGCTCCACTGGGCACCCTCTGGGGCCTGTGTAGAAGCAATAGCAAAGCCCTTTCTGCCCAAGGAGCCTGCAGAGAGGAACCTGGAGCAGGTGCTTCAGTACACAGGCCCAGCCTGGGACCACACCAACCCAACTAGTGCTCTCATAACCGCCCAGCTCCTTTCTTCAGCTCTGGCCTCAGCCTGGTCAGTTGGACAAACTCTATTACCCGAATAGCTGGAAAGGACGCAGCCTTTCTCTCAAGTGGCTCATAGTGTACAAACATGTTTGTTTGTTAATTTGACAAATATTTTTTCATGCCTATTTTATGCTGTACCTGGTGCTATGTGTGGGAAAACAGAGATGATGTTTATCTGCATAAATTCTGATAAGAGCTACCCCACAGGGATGTGTGAAGGCAAAGGGACCACAGGGCAGGGGCATGCCAACACTGTGTTGGGTAATCAGAATGGGCACTGCAGGATGAGTAGGAGGCACTCCTTGTCAAGCACTCCAGGGAACAGAATGGGCACAGGTATGGAGGTGTGAAGACGCTTGGAGGGAGCAG